ACGAATTCCTTTCAACTAACTACCTTTTCGAAATGAAAAGTAAATGTCGAAATGAGTTCTGACTCAATCTCAACTAAAGTTTACCACAATTTTGTCCTAAGAATTTGGCTGCTTCAACTGACCCACCGGGAGCATGTCTTATATCCGTCAACTCCTGATCCCGCGACACAAGACCGTCTATGCCTCGAACCGAATAGAGTGAACTGAGAGATGTTGCAGCAACTGTGAGACCATTGCTTGAGATGTCGAGTGGAGGATCACTGGCCGATTTTGTGCATGGAGGAGATAGAAAGGACAGACGTGCCGTTGAAGCGTGTGGCTTGGATGATGCAGACAGTCCCGACTGGTTGAGGGAGCTGAGAGAGTTGAGGGAAACTGAAGGAGTTGATGAAACCGGAACACAGGCCGCAACGCAACAACCAGATGGGCAGGTGCAACGAGGACCGCCAAATGGAGACAAACAGGAAGCAGTTCTGCAGCAGCAGGATTCAGAAAAACCGCATGTTCTGCAACACCAAAAATGACCGGTGACCGAGGTGTCACAACTAGTAGGATGCATGATATTACACCGATCCTGATTTTGGATCTTGATCACGGGCAATTCATGTTCGGTAGTTTGGTGAGACGATGAACCTCGGTCCACAGACCCATAACAGATTCCCGGCTTCAAACAAGGGCAGCCGATTAGTTCAGCTGGATTTGCCTGTTTGAAAGGAAGCATGGGCGAATTCAGACAATGATGCTGGTACTGATCATAAAGAGAATAGAGTGCTTGTAGGCGGGAATGATGATGATAATGATGATGATGACGAAGATTAGGATGGGCATTTTCATAATTCGAGGGACCAAAATTGCTGACACGAAACTCGACAAGACGAGAGCCACAGCTATTCGCTCGCTTTGGTGGGCTCTTGGAGTGAGTAGGGCTGATTGTGGGAAGTTGGCTGTGGCATTGGCATAATGAGGTTGGCCTTGGTCCTGTGTGATTGCCAGTCAGAGAAGGTTGAGTAGAGTCGGAAAACTGAAAAATCAGATAGTCTAGAACCCATTTGATGGTCTGAGGATCTGGCACCTCACCTGGGCTGTGTGGATGCTGCTGTTCATCAGGACTCTCGACCAAGTTTGATGGATTCGGACTTGGATCAGGATATGGAAGCTGGTGGCAAGGATGGCAACGATGGGATAAATTGAAATTGGCATATGTTCTAGGTTGATGAGAACACGAAAGGCTGTCGTGAGTGTGGTAGTGTGGCAGTTGGTGATCAGACAAGCAGTCGATCGGGTCATTTGTCACCAGTGGACAGGACTCGTCTCGTGGTCGTGGCAAAAGAGCATTGGGATCGGGACAATCGGTGCTGAAAGCTGGCACTATTTTTTCAGGATCTACGTCAGCCGCTTTCTCAGCGTCCTGACCAGCGAAAGTCGAAGCAGCAGTAGCCGATGCTGAATAGATCAGTTTTATTCGCTCGCCAACCTGACACGACCACGCGGCGGGAGAAATAGAAATTTCGGTAACAGACTGTCTGGTGGACGGTTGTACCGGTTGTTGTTTCTCCTCGTCTGCAGGTAGGCATGGTTGTACTTGTAGGGGTGAAACAGATTGCTGCAAATTAGACCCAACTAACGTACCGGTTGAGGTTAGAAGTCCCGAATGCTGGCAAAATGGCGACTCGCAGGAGGACGTAAACGAAGAAATGCGATGAGCGTCGTTGCCATTCATGCTGGTGC